ATGCCTCAGTTTCATAAATTATTAAGTTTTAACTAGATCTTCCATATATTAATAATCATAATAGCAAACTATTAGTGTTTCAGACTTTTAGAGATTTTCATCTAATAGGAAACTTATTTTATAAACTTAAAAATGCATTAATTCAAGTGACTCAAGATAATTCACTTGATGTTGATTTCTCTTTTACACTGATAGCTGTTACACATTTTTCTCTAATATCATTTAATAAAAAAACAAGGGTTTTTTTTTTAGTGGTAAGGAAATTTTGTTTGCTTTTACTATGAACAGGCGCATATGAACGCAGTTATAATTTTTTGGGAATTGAAAATTTTTGCAGTTTTTTAAAGCTTCGATTTTTCATAGTATTGTTGCCGTGAATCTGATTTTCCATAAATTTTGTTTAAATTCCAGCTCTATAAATAAATTGCATATTTTAATACTCTTGTAGTAAAAATACAATACCAATCAATTCCAAAAACGGTAACACTTTATTACAAAATTATTTTTATTAAATTTTTATGACTCTTTTACTACACACAAATTTAGAGCAACCCGTCATTATTCCGATTTTATTTTCATAAAATATACAAGCGATCTATAACTTTTAAATATTCTCATTTAAGGGCTTGTTTAAAAAAAAAATATTTGACAAAAGGAACAGATAGAAGAAAAATATCTTGTACACCTCTATTAAAAGGTATATAAAAATTTTTCAAGATAATTGAAAGTCACCACAAATTCTGTTTTTATTTTTCAACTTTTTTACACCTTTTAAGAATTTTTGCAAAAGTAAATCATTAAAATGTTACAGAAATTTTATGTTTATTTCATATTTTGTCCCGTTTATTATTAATTATATTTACACACATTCACATTACAATACAAAAACACAGACTAAAATTAACTAACGTTAAACAACACTATAATATAATTTTAGGGAAGAGAAGGAAAAAAATAAAGAAATAAATATATTTTGTAGTATATTAAGAATTATATTGACATACAGACACCTTCCAATAATCATATTCTTTTTCAATTTACTTAAAAATTAAAAAATTAAAATATTCTTATGATTTATGATTTTGGGGTAAAAAAAACACCAGTCAGTCGTAAAGAGTAAAAAATTGATTTCATTTTAAAGAACCATTTAAAATGAATTATGAATTAGCAAAATTGATATTTATTATATTATACATATATACCTATAGGTGTCAGTAAATATATTATAATGAGTTTAAAATTAATTTTTAGCCTTTTATTTTAAAAAATTAATTATAAAAAATTGTTGATAATTGCATACTTATACGCATCACATATGTATATATTTTGTGCAAATCTTTACTAATTTACTATAGGAGGTACGCATAAGAGAATGCTGCAATTGCAAAATATTTTATACAATACGAAAATATTTTTGTGCAATAAACGTATATTGTAAAAATGTCAATGAATTTGTTGATTCTCTTTCAATAACTCTTGCTAGGGAGAAAATCGTGAGTACGCCTTGTAGTACAGTTCAAGGTACTGTAATAGCAATATTTCAACCACACCTTTGAAATAATTTAACACATTCTACTTTAATTTATGTAAAATACTGTTTTTGCAGTTTTTACAACCTATTGCAATCTGAAATCGTAGAATTAACTAAAATAAAAATTTGTCTATAATTTTTTTATATTATTTTTAAATTTACTTTTAGCAAGAATATTTTAATTCATTAGTTCATAAGATGAAGATAGGAAAACCCCGCCTGGTCATTCACGGTACACTCACGCAAGAAGGCATATCAGCAAACCTGAAATCAAACAGTGAATAACCCCCATACTAATCAACTGTTATAAAGAAATTGCTAATCATCTAATGAAGCCAATCAACCTCCTTAAAGAATTTCGGCACCAAATATTCCCCAAACTGTCGTAAAAGGAACAACTCCAAAATGCTTCTCCTCTTCCATATTTTATATTCAACTTATATGTCTATTTCTCCTCCTCAAGAACCTATTTAACATTATATATTTAATTTTTATTCATAAAATAGAATTGCGATATAGTAAATATTATAAATTTTTTTTAATATTTGACTTTAACAATGGATGACTTCAAAAACGTAGTAAAAAATATGTAGCTTGATTTTATGTTGGAAAACTCATGATACAATGAGAATTATGAAATTTTACATATGAAATGTTACCCTATAACAATTTGAGGTTATACATTGCAAATTTTATGTTTTTATTGGAATATCCAAGCTAGAGAATTTCAATATTTCAAAAATGACATTCGTATGACAGTAAACATACATGACATCTATTAATTGTTTCAATAACATTAAAGAAATTCACCACTTAACTTATCTATATTAAAGATGTAATGTATATAAATGAATTTCGATACTATGCGTAAAATAATAAAATTTTCCAATTTTTTAATTTTATTTCCTTTTACTGCATTTGTTACATACATGCATACATACATACTCACAATTATATCATATTTTATATAATTATAATTATTATTTAAAATTTTAACAAAATATTGAAAATTTTTTTTTTCTGTATATTTAAAAATGAAATTAGAAGAAGAAAAAATCAAATTAAAACTAAAAAGGAAAATAAAGTAGAAAAAACAAAAAAAAAAAAAACACAAAATCTTTAAAGTTTTTGTGGTTTCAACTACCATCTGATTTATACTGTATAAAAGTTTATTATATACCGTTAATTAAGTCTCCTTTAAAGAATAACCGACTGACATAACTTTGCTTTTTTTGTTTATAAATAATTGCTTATAATAACATTATTATTTATATATTTAGTTTATTAAAATGTAGATATACAAACACAAACAAAATTACATTTGCATTTGTTTGTAAGTTTACCGTATATAAGCAGAAATATTTACAAACATATGTACATATATTTTATAAATTATCAGTTATATGCTACAATAATGTGTAACGAGGAGTTGTATGTATGTATAAATAATATAATTATACATACATATTTTGAATTGCATAAACTATTCATTTGTTTTTTTGATTATTTGTTTTTTTTGTGTCCCTTATATACCATAAAATTTATAATCTCTTTATACACAAAGTTCACTCTTAAAAATTTTATTTTTTATTGTAAATTTTGCCAAAGTGCATTTCTAAACTTTCGTTTCAAAAGGTTATTAAAACCTTTTTTTTTTGGTTTCCATTTTTTATTTATAAAATTAAAACTAAAAAAATTAATACAAGAAATTTCATAAAATAAAATTATGCATAATAATCAAAAAAAAAAAACAAATAATTATAAAAACCCAAAATTAAATCAGTCATCCCCACCTCCCCTCTACTTTCAAAAATTTTTTAAAAATTATTCTTTTTACTCTTCACTTCTTTCAATACTTACAAAAGGCAAAAACAAAATTCGTATTTAATTCAAAAATGAAACGAAAAATGTAACAAATCACACCCTCTTTTTTTTTTCCTAAGTTTTTTTGTTTTTTAACTATTTTCTTCTCTTTTACTTCCTTTCAATACAATTTGTATTCAAAACTGTAAAGTAAGAGTTGCGCAAATTTAAAATATTTTTTTTTTACCATAAAAGTTATAAAAATATCAACAAAATTTCAAAGAAAATATAACAGAAAAAAAAAATAATATAAAAAAATTGGGTAAATCCCCTTTAATGGGTGGAGCATTTGAAACTAATACATAGGCAATAAAAAGGTTAAATATAAATAACACATTCACACATCCTTAACAATTTTTGTTTTTTTTTTGTTTGTTAATGTTAACAGTTTAACTGTCTATAAAACTTTAACAAGCATTATTACGAGTATAACAGTATATATACCGTTTTTATGAATGCCATTTAAACCTGCAAATTTTCCTATAAATAATTTTCTCTCAAAATTTTTGTCTAATATGGAAATTGTACAAAATTGTTGCTATTGAATATTCAATAGAAACAATCTTTGAAACTTTCTCAAATTTTTTATGAAAATTTTAACAATCTGTTATGTTATGATGTTTTCTTAATAATTGAATCATTTAAAAAATTATAAATTAACATTTTGTATGTAGTCAAGGGATAATGAATTGTTAAGGATATAACATGAAATATCTCGCTATGATATAAGCATATGTAAGTAAGCATGCATGTAAATTGTAAATGTTACAAATAGAACAGGATAACAAACACTTGGTTTGATTGTTATTAAGTATGATTGTAAAATTTATGTAAAACAAAATTGTCTCATACTCTACAACAATTTCAAAATTACAAGTTATACATTAAAAATTAAGTGAATTTCAGCTTTGCGTATAAGGGTAAAGTTTTTTCAATTAAATGTTCTAAAAAGTAGAGGGCTACGAGTAAAATAGAAATGGCAGAGCTTTATTTTAAAAGGATTAAAGACCTAGATTTTTCTATTTAATAATTTTATTTTACAATAATATCAACTTAAAATATTTGATTTTATTATTTACAATTGACTTAAATTTTAAGGACCCGATTCAATTTTACAAAATATACGGTAATTTTTTAGTATTTAATTTTTTGTGTTTATGTTATTTTTGACATTTAACAAGTAATTTATAACCGTTGCCAACGTCATACTGATTCTAGTTACTTTACTATTCCATTGCTTAAAACTGACATCTATCTAACAAACTTATTAAATTAACTTATTAAATAAACATCCGGTAAGCAATTAATGGTTCGTTCGGCCTGGTTTTCGGTAAGTTGAAAATATTTCTAATAATCTTCTATAAATAATAATAAATAACGTATACGAATACCATCCAATTCAATGGAATTATTTTACAATTAATAATTACAACACACTATTATTCATTTTAGTAACACGTGCGACATCTACAGATCAGTAGAAAACTTGAGTTGATTACATTTTAAAATTTCACTGTCAATTACAAAACTACTCAGTAACGAAAAGCTATATCTTTAATTTTGATGTTTACTTGACAATTTATTCAATTAAATTTAATATCTATCATAAAATTGTCAAAAACAAAAAAGTTTATAAAAGAAACGTTTTGATTATTTTCAAGCGCAATTATCTTTTTTCAAAATATTATAATTGTAATAAATTTTAAATTAAAAAATCGTATATTGTGTTGTTTAAACTATGACTACTGCTGCTAGACCAACTTTTGATCCAGCTCGTGGAGGAACTGGACGTGGTGAAAAGGATTTAAGTGCTCTTAGTAAACAATATTCAAGTAGAGATTTACCAGGTAAATAAAACATTAGAATACATTCTTAAAAAAAAATTTCTTCAATTATATTGAGAAAATATTCTTTATATTTTTAAGGACACACCAAGCTTAAATACAGACAAGAAGGACAAGGAACAAATGATGAACTTCGCAGCCGTGATTTCCGTAAAGAATTAGATGATCGTGAACGAGAAGCAAGATCAAAAAATATTCCTGCAACAGTTCGTAAAGCTATTGAAGCAAATTCATCTTCTACAGCTTCAGCACCTAAAAGGCCAAAATTAGATTCTGTAAGTAAAAGGACTTAAGTGATTTTGCTGTTAATTCAAATATAAGATATGTATTTATACACATATTACGCGTTGCCAATACTACTTTCCAGTTCATTATAAATATTTTTAAAATTTTGTAGGTACCACCAGCTAATTTGGATGCTGATGATCCAGTTGATAACGATAGCTCAGAGGAAGAAGATTCTGATGATGATACTGCTGCTTTATTAGCTGAGTTGAATAAAATTAAACAAGAGAGGGCTCAAGAAGAATCAAAAAAAGAAAAGGAAAGAAAGGAACAAGAAGAAAAAATTAGAATGGAAAATATATTACAGGGAAATCCACTATTGAATTATTCATCTGGTGCTAAATCTGGAGATTTGAAAGTGAAAAGACGTTGGGACGATGACGTCGTATTCAAGAACTGCGCTCGAAATGAACCGGACAAAAAATCACACTTCATAAATGACTCACTTAGATCAGAATTTCACAAAAAGTTTATGGAAAAGTATATTAAATGAATTGTGAATGTAATTTTATCTAGAATTCAAAAATTTTCCCAACTCTATTAAGATAATGTGCGTGAATGTAGGATATGAAAATGTAATAAATGAAGTTCTCAATAAAAACTCTTTCTAAACATAAATTATTACTTGAAAAATTTATAACGAAAGATTTGAAAAGCTTGATTAAATATGATGATCTGTAAAAAATTTTCTAACTTTTCGGCTTGGCAGAATAACAATTAAATTCTTATACGTTATAGAAACCCGGAAGCACTTTTTATGATAGTAACTCACTGTATAAGCCTTTAAAGTTTATAAAGTTTTATTTCTGTTATTAAAAAAAATGGGTTCGTTAATTAGAATTATCAATTTCGGTCGGATGCCTATTTAGAATAAGTGAATTTCAAATAAATGGATCGTTATTTTGATGATATACAAGGTGGTTTCTTTTGGAAATTAAAGGTACCGTCAATTAAAATGAACTGTATTTCAAAAATTTTCAACATGTGCAAACATTTATCATCTTCAATTCATACTCATTCTATAAAAACTAATTGCTCCTTCCGTCCTAAACTTATATCTTTTAAATTTAATCTCATTTCGTCCTAATGTAGTCATTTCCCTTTACGAAATCCACTTACAAGTAAAATAAAATTGTACTAAAGGTTTATGTAATAAACTTCTTTGTAGTATGCATCCACGATCTATTAATCATACCAAAATCATGATAATTTATGTTTGATATCATAATTCCAACTTCCAACAATTACGAAGAGAAAAAGAGTATCTAATTTGTTAGACCAAATGAAATGAAATGGTACTGAACTGATTGACTGAACAAACTTTTAAGAGAAATCCCAAAGAAGAGTATTCATACCAAAAATTTGGAAGATTACACGATTTTCTCTTAAATTCAAATCGAACTTTATTTCTACTTTGTTTTTAATTCGATTATGTTTTCAGAGGTGTTATGAAAGGAATAACAAGTCAATTAAAAAAAAATTTAGTTCAAACAAAATTATACCCCTCTATTATGTATATCGGTATCGGCCGATAAACGATAATTTATCGGCAAAATTTTGCGTTTGTATTACCAACATTGTTTATCGGTAAATTTTATCGGAGTCGGGAAAGCTTTTTTTCCCTGTATAGGAAACGTATTAGCTGGTATTATGAAAACGATAAATTGTCGGGTTTTCACCGATTTAAAAGCGGGTACAAATTTTCAGACGACAGATTTTTTTTTTTTTGTAAAATCTTCATTTTATCAAGGAAACTGGTGTAATTAATTGCTTTTTTAAAATGTAAGCATTTTTTCTAAATTATTTTCTTTCAAAATGTTATTCATATATTTTATTTAGGAGTAAAATCGTAAGCAACAAAAAACAAATTGCGCGGTTAGTAGAAAAAATGGAAGAAGACTTAAACCTGGCAAGGAATGATAATCTGAAATTCTGGATAAACCTAAAAAATGTGTACATATTATATAAATAATAAAATAAAATAGGTACATAAACATACATTTTGTTGTCTAAATCCAATGGATTAGTTGAATCTCTTATATGTCGTCTTTGAATAGCTTGCGTTTCTTCACTTTCAAAATATAATGCACGCGACATTTTCCCGATACATATACATATGTATATTTTTATTTTACAAATTTAACAGAAAATAATTTGTTTACAACAACTTTTTAGCACATCAAAACCAAATTCAAAATAGTTTTAAAAATTTTTTGAAAATAACTTTTGAAAGAAAACAAATGTCATTAGAAAAAAAAAACTTTTTCTCCAATTTACAAAAACAAAAATTTGTATGAAAAAGCTTCTTTTAATCGGTTGAAATATTTTTATCGGTATCGGTTCATAATACAGAAGAAACCTAAAACCGATTAGAGCTGCCGATAATATATCGGCCGATACCAATGTTCATAATAGAGGGGATATTTTATTTTTTTTAAAAATAAAATTGAAGTAATTAAATATTAAGAAAAGCGAAATATAAAACATTTTGCTATATTCTGTTAGTCGCCTCACTTGAGGTACGGGGATGCTATTGAAATGTATTTTGTCATTCAGTATAGATTTTCAAATTTCAAAATTAATATTATTCAGAAAATCAAGCAAAATTTTTAAATAACATCGCCAGGTCACTTATTGAATATTAAAAATATTTAACCCCCTAAAAATTTGTGTATGTTATTTAAAATTTTACGTAAATAAAATTAAAGTCTAAAAATTTAATTCAATATTTAAGACTCACTAGTGTATGGAAATAGAAATTAATAGAATACATAAGTCTTCTCTTCTGTAAAAACATGAATATTACATAAATTTAAGTAAAACGATCTAGTAAATCACAATTTCTTCTTAAACTGGTAGAAAATGTTCAATAACTTCATTAGAAACTAAGCAGTACCTATCATCAAAAAATGTCGCAGCCCTAAAATTTCACAAAAAGAAAAATTTATCATATTAATTTCAAACTTGCCAATTGCATTTACATAATTTTTCTACTACAAGACCCGCCGATACCACGACGTAATTTTCTCAAAAATATCTTATAAATAACATGAACAACTTTAATTTTTTATTACCTTTTCCCAATCCAATTATAAAGAGACTGAACATTTAATTTTAAAGATCAGTTGTAAATTGTCCGGCGTGTTGAATACATCGAAAAAAAAAATAAAAGGAAATAATTTTAAAAAGGAACAGGACGATCTCTGCTTCTTTAGTTACAGTTCGGTGAATTTTGAAAAAAAAAAAGAAAAATTGTAATTTTTTTGTTTAATATTTTTTTTTTTATAACTTTACCTTACTAAAAAGGTATACCATAATTTAAACATTTATAGATATGTAAAAGTAAATGTATCTCCGAATGTGTGTATGTATGTACACATATGCACAAACTTATATAAATTTCGTTCCGTTTTTGTTTTATTTTTCGTTATTTGGTTTTTTGTTTTTTTTTTTTTTGTATAATTTTGCGCCGATTTAAGTAAAGGCAGACAAGAAGTCGTTAGCGTTTGTAATTTATAGCCATAAAGCAGTTAAGAAAAAACACCATTGGAATTGGAATCCGCACAGGTGCACACACTATTATACCGTGATATCTGAGTGCTCTTTATGTTTTTTCTTTTTTTTTGTTTTTGTTAAATTTGTGTATTTTTTTAGTTTTGGTTTTATTATTTTTAATGTGTTATATGTGTATATGACGTATATTCATAATATATCATGTACATATATATACATATATTGGAATATTGAATATAAGAAAAAAAAATGTAAAATATAAAGTGGCATAGTATGAAATATAGTAGTGGTTTGGTTAGTTTCCTTTACCGGCCGGACGATGAAAAATCTATATACATACATATGTATGTACGTAATAATATAATAATATTATGTGAATAGTATGTATAGCATGTATGTAGCAAATATAATATGAAATTATAAATACCTGTATATAAACATGTATATACATATAAATCGTGTATATAATATAAATATTTGGATTTTAAGTTAATACGAGTGTAACAAGAATGAGTTTTTTTTTTTTTTTTGTTAAATTAATAGTTATATTTATATTTATATATTATAATTGTATTACATATATACATATGTGTAGATTGCACATTTTTAATAATTTATATTTATGTATTATACGCTTATATGCAGTGCATAATAATATTAATCCAATAGCACATAGGTATGTTATGCTTACATATGTACATATGCACATTTTTAATAATTTATAATTAAAAGATTCTAATCTGTGTGCGAACAAGTAAAGTGTAAAGTGACCAATAATATAAAACACAATACACTTATCAAATGTTATTCTTATTACTTATTAATTTTTTTTTTGATAATATTAAATTATACATCAATTACAATCTGTACTACAAACGTATCCACGAACATACAAAACTCATATATTTTTAATTTCTTTGCAAATAAGTGCATATACTCGTATAATTTTTATTTTATGCGTGCGCAATTAAGTAATGGAGATTGCATATAACAATTTTTAAATAAATTAAAAAATTTTATTATATAATATATATAGCTGTACATATATACCTGTATATTATATAAAAAATTATCAAAATCGACGCTAAATTATACCTATTTAAAAACACTGTTATATAGGCAAATATGTGCTTAATGTGTGATTCAAGTATTCGCATAAATATAAGCATATATAGGTTGTATATAACAATATTTCAAATATCTTTATATAATATAAGAGTTATTTTACAATTCTTATAAATATTATATGCATCTACATTATGCTTGTAATAATGTTAGGTAATATAATATAATATAATGTTTATTACAGAAATGGTGTACCTACCTATATTAAAAGGTGCATAGGTTGATAGATAGTATTACAGAAATAAAATAAAAGAAAAAAATTATAACTATTACTTGTATTATTATTATACCACAAATAATTGATAATTAAAAAAAAAATTATTACCAAATATTTTCAATGTTTTAATATTTTTTTATAAAATTATTGAAAACTTATTATTGGTTATTGAATTTGCATATACATAAGTAATAATTATCTAGTTTGACATACATACATATAAAATTTCACAGGGACATATGAAACGGATTAAGTTAATTAATTATGAAAGGTGAAAAATTAAGAAAACCTATATAATGTGAATGAATGATCCTCTTGGGAATATTTGTATATATGTATGTACTCCGTTTTAAATATGGTTCTAAGAACAAATGAAACAAGAAGATGACAACTTCCAACAAATTTTTTTTACAATTAATGTTAAGAAGAAGGTGCCTAGTTACTTGTAATATAGATATAATAATGATCTTTTCTAAAATTTACTATGACAAGATTTTAAAAATTAATATAAATTATTAGTTCTGATCGCAAAATCACATTGAACCCTATATACAAATTATTCATTACAAATTTGCATAAAATTTTAAAAAGGGAACTTTATTTCCAAAAAGTCTATATGTTTGTATGTACAACTCTTCTTTTAATTGCAAAAAAAATTAAAAATTTTTGTCCAATGTTTAATAACAGGCATTTCCCCACAAGCCTTTGGTACGTAAATAATTTTAAAAATTTTCTAAAATAAAAAATTATGCTCGCATATATGTACGACATAGTTTTGATTTAGATTTGAACCTTGATCTATAGAATCGCAAAAATAATGTACCCCAAATCTTCGAATTTTTTTTGTTTTTAAAAATATCCATAAAATTTGCAAATAAGCTTTATTAAAACAAAATCGTATTTTAATTGTAAAATATATATATATACATTAATATAGCTATATACAAACATATTAAAGAGTCATACTTATATACATTTACGTATATATATGTATATATATATATAAATATAATATTGTACTTACTGAAATCGATCATACACCAAATAAATATAAAAAGGAAATTGTGTTTATTCTAAAAAGAAAAAAAAAATCAAAAATTACAACAGGAAACCATTGTTGTTCACCAAAAAAAAAACAAAAGAATAAAAACAAAAAAAAAACAAAGACCAATACAAAATATTTAAAAATTAACGTAATGTGAATTACCTATAATAATTAAGAGCTACAATATTATTTATTAATATTTAATTTTAGTATTTAGAAATTTAAAAATTATTTAATTCTTGAATCTTAAAGATCGATAATATTCTATATTCCTTTATTTCATATTGTTTGGCTTTCCGCATATTTTCAATTTTTGACTGGCGCCTGAACATAATTTTTTCAATTGTTATTATACATAATATTATTAATATTTTACAAATTTTAATTAGTGTTTCTAAATTATTTTCTTTGGGATATGCAAAATCTTCTGTTTGTAATGGCCATCCGGCCCTGTATCAAACTTTGATTTTTTTTTTACTCCTACTTCGCTCCTGGAAGGAGCATAGTGCTGGTGCAAAATATTTTAGATAACTATGAACCAGTTTCTTACGTCATTGAGTTTACTAGGTAGGAGACGAGCCTACAGTAACCTAAGCTTTGATAACAAAGATTAACTATAGCTTTCACTTAATTTAAAATGTTGACTATGAATATCTCCAGAATTTGTTAGATTGCTAAATAAATATTTTGAAAAATATTTAACTATTTAACAAATCTTGGCTGTTAAATTTAAATCTCTGCTTTTTTTAATATTTAATATTATTTTACTTCTAGAGCGAATGTAAAGTTAATTTTATAGAGTGTTGTATTTACACCCGTGCGAACGTATGTTCGCAGGTTATACTAAATTTTCCTTCCCGTTTGTAACGCTAAGAAATAATGGTCTGCGATGAAGACTCAAGCGTATGTTTTTGGTGAACGTCGAATTCTGAGTCGATTTACGTTTGTTTGTCCGTCCGTTCGGTCAGTAGGGCCAATATGTTTGATAAAAGTAGTTGAAATTGCTTGGCTCCTTCTAGTAGCTGCCATACAACTTCAAAAGTTATTTGGCTATATTTTAGAAACTATAAAAGCTGTTAAATTGAAATTTCACACAATCGAATATATTAGTAGGGCCAATGTGCTTGATAAATGTTCTTGAAATTGCTTGGCTCTTTCTGGTTGCAGTCATAAAACTTCACAAGTTATTTGGAATTATCTCAGAAATTATTTGAATTATAATATAGAAATCTCGTGAAAAACAAGTGTGTTATAAGTGATGTGTGATAAAAATTTTTGGAATTTCTTGACTCGTTGTGGTAGCAGCCACACAACTTCAATAGTAGTTTGGCCATATCTTAGAAAATATTCAAAACATAATTCTGAAATTTTGCATAAGTTAATATGGTAATACAGCAACTTGTAGTCATAGTCTGTCCCAAATTTATTGAAAATTTATTAAAATTGTGGTTCAAGGCCTTAACTTGGTATAACTTAAAGAAAACAGTCGTACCAAGCAACTGTTTTCGATTTTTTCCAAAATTATGAGACCAATAATATGGAAATTATGAAGAAAAATTAAAGAAATGTTTGTAAGCAACTTAAAGAGTTGAAAAAAAAACTGTTATAATAACAAGGTCTTAAAACCAATTTCCTTTTTAAATCGAAAAATTCAAGTAGATAACATAGAATGGTTGGTTAGTGGACTAACCAGCAGACACATTTCATGGTATAAATTAAAAAAATTGAAAATTACGAGAAAACAGAAGTATGCGTCAAACACATAAAAACTATAAAAAATATAATATATCACTATACATTTATAATATTTTTATAGCTCTTTTTTTTGCAAAAAAAAAAAATAAGAATTTTTCAAAACTAAAATAAGAATTTAATATTATTTTATTCTCGTATAAGGCATTTTATTTTAGAAACAAAAGAAAAACAATAAGGAATCAAACCGTAAAACCAATATTCCTTTCCAAAAGATGATTTAAAATAAAATGATATTGATGATGATGACGATGATGATGATGATTATTATTCGTTTACTATTTAACTTCTTATACACACGCGCACACAAATCATCTACACTTAAGTATTATTGTTGATGATTGTATCTTTGTAAAATTTTCCTACTGTGAATAGTGCGGGTGTATAAATAAAATGTTATTTATTATTTAAAAACAAAAAAAAAGCAGAATTCGCAATAAAGTAGTTTTTATTTATTTACTTTTCGTTACATTCACTTCTGTAAAATTTTTAAAGTTAAGAAAAAGTATGTGCATAGTTTCTGAGAGAAGAAAAATGTGGGGATCAATTTTGTATGATAAGGAAAACATGAACGTGCTAAATATTTTATTTTGTTTTTATTTTGTATATTTTATAGTTGCAAATTTTTAATTTGAATTATTCGCAAATAATTTCATACGATTTTAAGGTTTTAAATCTAGGAGTATCAGACATAAATGATCGATGAATGAGGGAATAAGTCAGAATATAAAAGCAAAATTTTGCAATACTTTTCGATTATTTGCACTTTACGGACCTTATTCTACCAATAACTTACTTGATTTCATCACCCTCTAATGCATAATTGAGTCTTGTTTTCAAATTTGTCTACTAAAAATATGACTGTAGCTATCATGTATTTACTATGTTGAAACTTACATATGTAACATTATTTTC